CACCTTGGGAGGAAAAACCTGCAGCATGCTTATAGGCTTGGCAGTGCTATGCTGGTTAGCACTACAGATGAAAGTGACTTGGGGGTCATGATTGACCACAAGATGAACATCAGCTTTCAATGTGAAGCTGTGGCTAGTAAAGCAAGCAAAACACTGGCTTGCATCCATAGATGCTTTTCGAGCAAATCCTGAGATGTCATTCTCCCATTGTACTCAGCCTTGGTGAGGCCACAGCTGGAGTACTGCGTCCAGTTTTGGGCTCCACAATTCAGAAAGGATGTGGAGGAGCTTGAGAGTGCAGAGGAGAACCACACACTTGATCAGAAGTCAGGAAAACAGACCTTATAATGAGAGGCTGAGCCATAAGACTTCAGCCGGGAAAAGCGCAAGCTCAGAGGTGATCTGGTGGCCACCTATAAGTTTATCAGGGGTGCTCATCAGGATCCGGGGGAACGTCTGTTCACCAGAGTGCCCCAAGGGATGACAAAATCGAATGGTCACAAACTCCTCTGCGACCGATTCAGGCTGGACATAAGGAAGAACTCCTTTACTGTCCAAGCCCCCAAGGTTTGGAATAGTCTGCTGCCAGAGGTGGTTCAACACCCACTTTGGACGCCTTCAAGACGCATTTGGATGCTTATCTTGCTGGGATCCTATGATCCCTGCTGACTTCCTGCCCCTGGGACAGGGGGCTCGACTCGATGATTCTCCAGGGTCCCTTCCAGCCCAAATGTCTATGAAATCTATGAAGCTGAGATTGCCCAATTTTGCGAAATCCATGCAGTCACAATTTGAGTAGGTCCCTAATTATAATGGTAAGAAACAAAGCTTACCAGTGCAAAAGGGAGACTTTTTCCCCCCTTGTACCTTGAGTGCCCATGTCTATCTCCATCTGTATGCATTTATCTATAAGTGAGAATTTTTTGTTTCTGCTGTTATGTTCATTAGATTTGTTTTTAATCGCATTTCCATACATTTGGCCTTGTACTTCATGGAAAGCAAGTGTGCTGTCTGCAATAGACATGAAGATGAGAGGTGCAGCAGGAAAGGTGAAAGTAAAAAGCATTGCTAAAGTATGTGAAACATGATGTTATACAGGCGAAGCAGAGGAAGAATTATCTATGCATCGTGTGAGTTTAGAATAGGCTTGACATTCTCACACCCAAACATTTCCATCTGGAATCTGTTCCTAAGTAAAAGGAAATAGAGACAATATTCTCATATCTTCCCTGGTGAAGCTATCCAGGGAATAGGAAATGTTCCTCAGTTATTTCTTTTCCTGTTCATTTTGGGGATGTGTTCAGTTTAGTTGCTGAACAGAGGTGGCAACATTTAAAAAAAGATCTTTTAAAGGCAATAAATAACATCAAACTCATCTTTTGATGGTTGCTGTAATATCTTGATATTGCGTTTAGGCAGATCTGTTGATTTTTGTGTCACTTTTTTTTTTAAAGAAGTTTTATTTATGCTTTTATACCATTTTAAGTATGAAGGGACTTAAGGGCTTCCTCCTCATTTTCTAAATTCTTGATAACTTCCCCTCTGCCTTTCTTATCTACCTTCATCTCTTAATTTTCTTATTGCTTCTTTTTAGACTGCCTTTATATTTTCTGTTTACATGGTCCCCTTTCCCCATTCTAGACTGTGTACCTGTTTCATATTTTCCTGGACACCTCAGTGTATACTGATCTCTTTGAAAAGGTGACCTTCTTCTTTACCAGGTTTAGCTTATAAGGTGCCTTTGGTGCTGTGCATTTGCTTTGTAGGATAATGTGCCTGCTCTCCTTTTACAGTGCAAGAAGCTTGGGATAAGGATCTAGTAAACAACTGTTTTACATATTGCAACTACTGTACAGGGATGCATATGCTGGTGGTGGACATATAAAAAAATTAGCAGAACTTTCTTGATACTTGAACGCTCAGAACTACTTTGTAGCTATGTTTTCTACTGTTCATTTATTGCAGAAGAAAAAGGTGAAAAGATACTTGGAAGTCATTTTAAGTTTAGAACTTGGTAACCATAATAAATATCACGCAAGCTTACCTTTCTCGTTCTTGTTCCAGTAAATTGGTAAACTCGTCACTTTTTTCCATATACTCTGTATGCTTTCTTTTCTCATCTTCCAGCTCATACAGAGTCTGTCTGTGTGATTTTTCTACCATTAAGAGTTGCTCCAGCATTCGTCTGTGAGTTTCTTTCTGTTTCTCAACAACTTTGTCAAGCTACGAAAGAAGCAAAAATTTTTGCAACGCTGTGGAATTCTTATTTGCTTCAGTATGTTTGCTCTAATTATGCTTATTCATTTGTTTTTATTTCAGTGGTTATAGGTTTTCAAGATATGGCAACAGATTTTCCAGTAGTACAGGCCCAAGGCTTCACCTACTATAGCATAGGTTTTATGAATTGGTGGTCAGATCTCATAGAATCGCTCTGGAAAGTGTTATTTAATTCCACAACTTCTCTGCTGAGAATTTTAAATATAAGAAGGTTATATTTTGTAGGACCCTTGAATATATTTTGTTCTGCAACTGGCTGTCTAGCAGCTATTAATTAACAATTACTATTCCCAGACTTATATAATTGATGATTCTGATAGAGAAACAGATGTCTTGGCAGAAGATGTTATCCACGTTAGGTCAAACTATTGGGTTTTTTGGGGGGTTTGTTTGGGTTTTTTTTGGAGGGAGGGGTTAAGCAAAAGTGGCCATCTCAATTTTAGTTCCACTTTGAAATAACAGTTAACACCCACATGGTGTTTTAAATTGAAATCTCATTGCAAAGAGTAATAAAATAATTTTTGCAGCATCCTTCTTTTGAGGTAGGTACAGATGTCAAAAACTGATTTCCTCAAGGGCCTGTAGCAAATTTATGGTACAGCCAGGATTATTGCTCCAATTTCTGTCTCTGCCTTGCCTTCATTCTACCAGGCCTTTCTTTCTCTTTTTCTGAGAACATGTATATAGCTCATTTTTTATCACAGGGAAAATGACAGAACCGTCAGGAAAACTAACAACTGGGAACATTTCTATTAAGCAACAGGGTTGTTTTCAAATAAATGCATTTTATTTTTAGAAATATAATCCTAAACATTCCACAGGTCTTCGTGCTTTTTTGTGTGCCTCTATTTGTGAATGCCACACCTTGAGACAACTTAAATGGGGCTATTTTCCAGAGGACATATGAATATATAGGACATGTGGGCCTGTTTTCCAGAGGACATGAAGCATGTGCTTGCTGCAAATCATCTCCTTTTGAAGGTTTCTTAAACCAAGTGCCCAAAAAACCATTAGACTTTAAAACTTTAGGTCAGATTTTGATTTTCCTAAACTGCTTCAAACTATTGAGCAGCATTTGGCACCCAGTTTTTGGAACTGAATCTAGAAGCTTTTTCATAAAAATATGTCTGAATACATGGTATCCTTAATTCAGTATTTGACCAAGTTACTTGGGCATACTTGCACAAAGCTGGAAAAACAGGTTTTTAAAACCTTTGTTTAAAACCAAAAACAGAAGATTTTTTTTCCATTTAAAGCCATTGATCTTATTGAGGGGATGAAAGAAAGGATTGTAGACCCACCAGAGAACCTTGCAGGAATTGCAGAATCTTTGTCCTGCTGTTTGTTCATCTACTTCCTCTCAGTGAATTATCTTTACTCCTATGCTCCTATGCTGATTTGAACAGGCTAATTTCCTTTTTGAAAATGTGAAGTCTGCTGCATAAACCATGAAACAGTCTTTTTTAAACTCGGTGATTCTTGGCTGGGATATTGCAGCACCCTGAGGTGCCATGAGATCTTTTTAAGGGTGCTGTGAAACGTCACTGCTAGGTGTGTAAACATCACTGGATAATTCACTGGATAAACCCAGAGATGTCAAATAAGATTCATGGTCTCAAAGATATTCTGACCTGTTTTAGTTTTTCTGAATTCTTAGCAACAGAAGAATTCCTCTGTTTCTCTGTTCTTATTCTCTAGATTTTGAAGGGGTGCTGCTAAGTTTGGAAAAGTTGTAGAGGAGTGCCTTGAGTCTAAGAAGGTTGAGGCCGAAAATTTTAACCACATTCAGTTTGTGTAGGTCAAAACTGCTTTGCAGCATTTTACTCTTAAAGAGTTCAGAAATGGGTAAAGGAGGGAAAGCAGAGGCCAGTTCCAGCCTTCAGTTATTTGATCTTTCTGCTGCTTTCCCCCCACAGAATGTCCCCTAAAAATGCTGGGGCCTCAAATTCTTCAGGCCATCACACAACACTTAAAATGTCTAAAACCACATAGCTGTATTGATTGGCTTCCAGTAAAGCTTGTTCAACTTTCTTCTTTCTAAGGTAGATGATGGAAAATGTAGTGACGGTACATCTATCATTTTATCAATGCATGGGTCCTTGCATGAAGAACTTCCTTTGTTCCACTCCCATGCTTCTCAAAATCAAGAGCACTATCTCTCCTATACCTTACCTAGACTGGTTATAAATCGAGACCTACTTAATTTGCAGTTTTTGTGAACACCAGTGGTATCCACAATTGCCGGGAAATATTCCATAGGCCACAATTTCCCAATAACTATATAAAACATAAAAAGTATATATAAAAATAAAATATGCTGCTATAGAATCTCTCAATCCTTACCATGATATTGAAACTAACACAGCAGTCACTGCAGCCACTCTCACATGGTTGAGACTTACTGACTGTCTGTGGTGATGGCAGAGGCCTTGTCAATCTGCAGCGAGGGGTGGGACTGCCGAGAAATGCCCACTAAATTGGCCCTTTGTGCCATGAGCAAGCCATGAAAATGGCTTCACCTTACCACAAGTTAAGCGTTGTTATCCTTTGTGGGCGAAGATGACCACATCCAGTGAGGGGTTGGGGAAAGAAGAGAGAAAAGAAATGGGAAAGAAACAGGGAAGGAGAAAAGAGAAAAGGAGAAAAGTGAGAGAGAGGAGGAGGGTGGAAGCTAGGTCATGTGGGTACACAGGTGACTTATAAGCCCAATCTTTGCCTTGAACAATCTGCTGCATCAGGGGCAGAAAAGCGATGAGGATTGCATATGAGAGGTTTTTGTTTTCCTGGCTACGCGTTTCCTCATTTTTTCTGCCATGTGTTGCTGTTTGAAGGCCAGTGCTCCTTTCTGGATTGATGACCTCCAGGATGGACGGTCATGAGTGATTTGCTCCCATGACTCCAGGTCGATGCTAAAACTCTTTAAGGACCCCTGTAGGGTGTCCTTGTACTGTCCTGGATTGTCTGGACTTTGGAGCTTGCTTGGAGCCTGCGCAGGCTGAAGATGTCAAAATAGTACCTGATTCCCATACCAAGGTCATCGCCTTGGAAGGCATCTGACAGCATGGCAGAGAATACCATGTTGAAGAGGGTAGGTGCGAGCACACAGCCCTGTTTGACACCATTTGTGACCAGAAAGGGGTCAGAGCATTTGCCATTCGCAAGGACGCGTGCCATGCCATTGTGGAACTATCAAACCATACTGATTATTTTTCAGGGTGTCCATACTTCTTCATGATTTCCCAGAGGCCTTTGTGGCTCACTGTGTTGAAGGCTTTGGTTAGGTCAGGGGTGGGCAATTATTTTGGGTGGAGGGCCACTTACCAAGTTTTTGCAAGCTGTCAAGGGCTGCATGGGTAGCCCCACCCCTTGACAGGTGCCCTTCCCCCTGGTCACCATCTTGTGACCAGAAGTCCTGCCCCCTGACCTTTGCCACCAGAAGTCCTTCGCCTTTCCCCTGGAAGTACTCCTTTCAGCAAGGGGTTTTGCCTTGTTGGAAACATAAAAATGCCTTTGACAGGCAGCCAGGAGCAGATAAATATTTTTAAAATTTTTTAGGGGTCCCATGGGCTGAATAGAATGGCCTGGCAGGACAGATCTGGAATGCGGGCTGTATTTTACCCACCTGTGGGTTAGGTCAATTAATGTGAGAATGTTCTGTTTCTGGCACTTTTCTTGAAGCTGCCCGGCCACAAACACCACATCGCTGGTTCCGCATCCTTTTCTGACGCCTTATTAGCTCTCAGGCAGTAGGTCATTTAGATGGTCGGTCAGCTGGTTGAGGAGGATTCTTGTGAGTATCTTACTGGTAGTTGAGAGGAGGGAGATCTCCCTGTGGCTGTCACATAGTTGGCAATTTCCCTTCCTCTTGTACAGGTGGATGATGGAGGGACTACCATGAATTCTTGAGGGACTACCTCCTGCACCCCCATACTGCAGAAGATCTCGGTTAGTTTCTTTGTGAGGTTGTGATCACCTGATTTGTAGACCTCCACTGGAATTGTGTCAGCTGCAGGAGCTTTGCCACTAAATATTTGTTGTATGGCTTTTTGGACTTCTGCAATTGTAGGCGGAGCTTCAAGTGAGGTATTGATGGCAATTTGAGGCAGCTTGTATATGGTGTCCATGTTGATGGAGGAGGTCCGATTGGGGACAGCGCTGAAGTGTTCAGCCTATGTCTGGAGGATCTGGGCCTTGTCAGTTAGCAGACAGCAGAGGGGAGGATCCAAGGACCTGCAGACCATAAATGGCTTTTAGGGCATTGAAGAACTTCTTCTCATTGTTTCAGTCAGCATATGCTGGATCTCATCTGCTTTGTTATTCAACCATGTGTCCTGCGTACCTCTCAACTTGCGATGAATGCTCTTCCGTATTGAGCTATAGGCATGTTGTGTTGATGTGAACTTATCATAGAGGTAGGCTCTGTGGAGATGTTGTTTCTCTTCCTACAACCATTGCATCTCCTCATCATTTTCATTGAACCAGTCTTGGTGTCTGCGGATGCATGCCTTCAGGGTCTCAAGAGCTGCAGAGTGTATAGCTTTACAAAGCTGCTTCCAGTTGGCTTCAATGGAGCCAGACTAGAGCGGTGTAGTGTGAAGCTGATCTTTCAGATGGTTCACAAAAGACAGCCTGGTGCTGTTGTTTATCAGCCCAGCAGTGTTGAGGTGCGTTGGTCCACTTCATCCTTGTGGATGCCATCTGGTTTGAATTGTCATCTTTAGTGAGGAGATGATGAGTTGATGATCAGTCCAACATTCAGTGCCACACATTGCTTTGGTTACATGGACATTGTGTCTATCCCTCCTTCAGACGGTGACATAGTCGATATAATGCCAGTGCTCAGAGCAAGGGTGCATCCACGATGTCTTTTTCTGGATGGGGAGACGGAACGCAGTGTTAATAACCAGGAGCTCATGTTCAGCACATAGTCTGGACAGGAGAAGACC